AAGTTTGCTTAATTATAATAATCGAAATGAATAATATTTCCGATTTAATTATTTTTGTGTTAAATCAACAGGACGTAAGTATAGAGATTGCTTAATTATAATACTCAAAATAAATAATATTTACCTCTTAATTATTTTTGTATTAAATTAACAGGACGTAAGTATAGAGATTGCTTAATTATAATACTCAAAATAAATAATATTTACCTCTTAATTATTTTTGTGTTAAATTAACAGGACGTAAGTATAAAGTTTGCTTAATTATAATAATAGACAGGAATAATATTAACTCTTAATTATTTTTGTGTTAATTTAACAGGGAGTAAGTATAAAGTTTACTTAATTATAACAATCGATATGAATAGTATTTAACTCTAATTTTTTTTGTGTTAAATTAACAGAGGGTAAGTATAAAGTTTACTTAATTATAATAATCGAAATAAATAATATTCAACTCTTAATTATTTTTGTGTTAAATTAACAGTCAGTAAGTATAAAGTTTGCTTAATTATAATAATCGATATGAATAATATTAAACTCTTAATTATTTTTGTATTAAATTAACAGGACGCAAGTATAAAGTTTGCTTAGTTATAACAATCGATGTGAATAGTATTTAACTCTTGATTATTTTTGTGTTAAATTAACAGTTGGTAAGTATAAAGTTTGCTTAGTTATAACAATCAATGTGAATAGTATTTAACTCTCGATTATTTTTGTATTAAATTAACAGGACGTAAGTATAAAGTTTGCTTAATTAAAATAATCGATACGAATAATATTTAACTCTTGCTTATTTTTGTGTTAAATTAACAGGACGTAAGTATAAAGTTTTCTTAATTAGAATAATTGATATGAATAGTATTTAACTCTTGATTATTTTTGTGTTAAATTAACAGGACGTAAGTATAAGGTTTTCTTAATTAGAATAATTGATATGAATAGTATTTAACTCTTGATTATTTTTGTGTTAAATTAGCAGGACGTAAGTATAAAGTTTACTTAATTATAATAATTGATATGAATAATATTTAACTCTTAATTATTTTTGTGTTAAATTAACAGTTAGTAAGTATAAGGTTTGCTTAATTATAATAATTGATATGAATAATATTTACCTCTTAATTATTTTTGTGTTAAATTAACAGTTAGTAAGTATAAAGTTTACTTGATCGTAATAATTGATATGAATAATATTTAACTTTGAATTATTTTTGTGTTAACAGTTGGTAAGTATAAATTTTTCTTAATTATAATAATGGATATGAATAATATGTCATTTATTATTTTTTATTTACTAACAGTTCGTAAGTATAAAGTTTTCTTAATTATAACAATTGAAATTAATAATATTAAATTCTTAATTATTTTTTGTTAAATTAACAGTTGGTGAGTATAAAGTTTGATTAACTATAATAACTGATATGAACAATATTTAATTCTTAATTATTTCTTTGCTAATTAACAGGAAGTAAGAATAAAGTTTGCTTGATTATAAATAAATATTTATAATAGTAAATTATTAATCATTTGTTGATATTGACGTGGATTTTTCACATTAAATTAATAGGCCGTAAGTATTAATTATACTTAATTAAAATAGTAAAATCATTTATACGTTATTAAATTTTGATTTATTTTCATGGCATGCGTTTAGATTGTAAATATAGTTTTTTTAAAAATATGTGTGGAGTATCTTTAAATTGTCACAATATTAATTATTTTTAATAATTATCAGATCGTAAGTATATAGCTTATTTAAAAATTATATTTGCGTTAACAAATAGTGTCGAATTATTTATCGTATTAAATCAATAGAGAGTATGCATGATTCCTACATAATTATTACAATTGAGTTTACATATAAATACTATATTATTAATCTATTCATTATTAAAAGAGCGTGAGTATAAAGCTTATTTATCATTGCACTAATATTACATTATATTAAAATGAACTTTCGTGTTCAATTATTAGGCTGTAAGTATATGTACTGTAAATACTATGTTGTAATAATATTTTTTGTTTGATAATTAATTCATTTTTATTTATTAGGGCGTGAGTGTAAAATAATAATTTATTGTTAAATTTAAAATATCATTAATACCTATTTTGTATTAATAGAATGTAAGTATATACTTATGTGTTATTTTACAAATTTATGAAAATTTTGTCAAATTGTTGAGCATTTATGTTATTTGTTAGAATGTAAGTATAATTAATTTAATTATTATAATTCTAAATACTGTATATTATTAAATCATTTTGCATTAATTTAGCGAGACGTAAGTATTAAAAATTCCAAAATTAGACAACGGGTATTATTTAATTATTTTATCAATTAATAGGAAGTAGGCAAAAATCTTTTTAAATTATATATTAATATTTGCAAATGCTATTGATGATATATTTTGTCAAACTATTAGGAAGTGAGTATAAGACTTATCAAAGTGTCTGTAATTATTATTAAATAATGGATTGTTTCATGTTGATTCATTAGATTGCAAGTATAAATCCATGTCATTCTTTAGAATTTATATTGATAGCAATGTTTATTTATTCTTATATTAAAATACAGGAAGTAAGATAAATTATTAAATATATCTGAGTATCTAGAAGAAATATTGCCAAATAATTTATTTATTTGTCGATAAAAAATATTAGGATGTAAGTATGAATCATAAATAATTTATATTTAAAGTTTAATATACTGATTTTATTAATTGCACGTTAAAATATTAGAGAGTAAGTATGAATTTTTATAAGTTTTTTTTTCGATATATGTTTTTTGTTTTTAAATCATTTCGTATTTAAATTAGCAGTGAGTAAGTATAGAATTATTTAAAAGTTATGTATTAAATGTTATCATAAATTTACTTTTAATTTATTCTGATAATTATTAGACTGTAAGTGTGAAGTTTATATAAAAGTGGAAGAAATTTAAATACTATCAAATGTCAATAATTTCAATGTTAATTAACAGAAGGTATAAGTTTACTTAAACATTATATATATATTTATAAAAAATTTTTTATTAATTGATTTTTTCTTTTCTCGCGTTAAATAATTAGTCAGTAAGTATAACGGGATGTTAAAATATGTATTTTAATAAATAATAACTTATTTTTTGTGATAAATTATTAGGCTGTAAGTATATTGTCTGCATATTTGATGATCTTTTTAAAATTATGCTCATTTTAATTATTAATTTACTTTGTTGAATTATAGTCGGCAAGTATGAAGTTCTTTAATTTGGAATAAGAATGTTATTGTAATTTATACTCCATTCAATTAACAGTGAGTGAGTAGAAAATTTATCAGTCATTATTTATGAACATTGTATTGATTCTTTTTTAAAATTACAGGAAGTAAGTCTAAACTCATTTAAATATTGTATTGTATAACTATCAACATCCTTAATTTGTTTTGTTTTTATCACAGATTGTAATTATGAACTTCATTTGACTATCGATAAAAACATTTTCAGTACTAATTGATGTTTGATTTTCGTGTTGAATAATAGAGAGTGAGTAAAAGGTTCATTCGCATATTTATTAAGTATATAAATATTATTTATTAATACTTCTATTATATATTAATTAATAGGAAGTGAGTATAGGATTTGTTTATTATAAATATCTACAAATATCATTTAACATATTTGCGTCAAATAACTAGGCAGTGAGTACAAATTTGTTTTTACATCTTATTTAAACAATTTATTTATTTTCATTCAGATTATTAGATAGATGCTAGGTTTATTTAAACTAAACACAAATGTCATTATTTGCAATAAAACTTCTAACATATAATGTATTTTGATCTATTGTCAGGATGTAAGTATAAAGTTTATCTAAATATTAATACACAAATAGAATTTAAAGACATTTTATTATCAACTTGTGAGTATAAAGTTTAAATTATTCGTTTAAAATTGTCAGGTGGTAGGTATCTAATTGATTGCTTATGGCATTTAGATATCGAAATTAATTATAAAATCAATTTCATCTTAATCACAAGTTTGTAAGTATATTGATCATTTTGTTTACTACTTATTGTTTTGCGTTTAAATATTTGCGCAAATATTTATTGATTTATTTTTATCTCAAAAATTATTAGGCAGTAAGTACGAATTAATGCTTAAAATAATTCATACTACTAAACTTCTGTATTTTACTCATTAAAAGAAAGTGAGTATAAGATGCACTTTTCTTCCGATTTGCTATTAATAATGAATATTAATTGTACATTTGCGTATTAATTAAAGACGGTGATTACTGTATAAGTTTTTGTTTTATTTCCATTAAAATTTTGTTATTAAAAATTAATATGTTGTATATATATACTTACCAGACCGTGAGTATAACTTTTACCATATGGCTCAATTTATCGAAAATTCGTTTAACAAGTGACTTAATGATTTATGCGTAAAAGGGAGTAAGTATTAGATCATCATACTTTTAACACAGCATTTGTTTATAATCATTGTATAACAATAGATTCTTTTTACTTTCAAATTTTCAGATCGTAAGTATATAATTTAAAACTATAAAATTAATCACAGAGAATATGCATTTCTTCGCTAATTCTAAATTTATTAGTTTGTGAGTGCAAAATTATTCCTTATAATTATTAAATGATTGGCCACTAAACATAATATTTGCAATTAATCAGGAAGTAGGTATATTTTTAGAAAGTAAACGCTTTATTTATTTTTCAACTAAAATTAATTATGAATTTTTAATTAATGTAACTATTAGGCGGTGATTATATAATACATCTTATTAAAGCATAAAAAAAAAAAATAGAAATACTATTATTTCTCTTACTTTGTTATCTATTATAGTGTATACGGCAAATCATTTGAGTTTGCAATTAATCAATGGGATGGACGTGATTTTGACCCAAGGATTAGTATAAATCCGACGTATTTTTATGAGATACCTAAGGTTACGATAAATAATGTAGAATTTTTATCCAAGGAAATATCCGGCAATTTCATGGAGATCGACTTATTAGATGATCTTAAAAAAATCAATAATTGTTCAGCTAAGTTAGGAGTATCAATCAAAGAAGGGCTATTTTTTGCATCTAACATCCTTTCGTATTTTTTTGAAAATCACAATGAATTCGTCAAAGGATGGAAGAATGAACTTAACTCTCGAGGGAAAATTGATAATCTAACCGATTCGCATTTAAATTTTGTTGACGAATCCATCGAAAATTGCAAAAAATTTGCTAATATATTTAGTGAATTTCACGAATTTCTTAGCAATGAAATTATGAAACTTGAAGAGTCACTTCGGAAAATTGAAAATAAACCGGAAAAAAATATATACGAGCAGACGTTAGAAAAAAAGAACGAGGTCGATGAATGGGTTCCAAAATCCAAAGAACGCTTTCATATTACAAATTATAAGAAGGTAACTGAAAAAAATTTTTACGTAGTTATTAAGTTATCAATTTTTATTTTTTATTTTTATTATTTTTAATAAAGAAAGTAGATAAAGGAAACGTTATATTAAAAGAATTAAATGAAAAAGGATATGAAAATTTGATTTTGGATCGTCTTATTGTCGAATTGGAATGCATTAAAAATAGATTGAAAATTTTAAAATTGAAAGTAGTATCAGGTAAATTTTAACTGTTATTATAAAAATGTTATATGATGATAGCTAATTGTAAATTTATACATTAGACTTTTGGAACCGAATTTCCAACGAATTTCAAATAAACAGAGAATTAATGAAGGAAAATGTAAACCATGGAGAATTGTATGTAAAAGAATATACAATTGATCATACAATTGATCATTGGGTAAAAATTGGATACATTATAGATACTTTTTTTGCAAATATATCACTCATCGTTAAATAGTTGAAAAGGTCAGGAATTTAAAGTCGGGATATTTGGAATTATAGGTATATAATTAGACTAGTATATTCAATCACACATATTTTATTAGCTCATATTATACTACACTTATATTATCGAACATTTGATGCATTAGTTAAATATTATATATATAAATACAGTACAATTAAGGTATACCGTTGTTAGCAATATACTAATCACGTCATGAAATGTAAATTGTACCCGTATAAAAATTCTTAGTCTATTTCATGATAAAAAAAAATTATTTTATTAATTGATAAATGAGATATTGTACGTTAGCATAATTAAAACTATTATTTTAAATAATAAATAAATATTTGATTTTTTGTATTTTCCATATGACAATAGCAGAATTTAAGTTGCTATTCTATATTACGGGGAGGTATTCCCCTGCAGCATCCTTAACTTAAGTGAAATCTAGAATTGCAAGAACCGCTTAAAATTAATAAAGATGTATGATACCATAATTGACATTTATAATAAATTTTGCAAAATCGTGCAAATATTTTATCATTAATACTTAGCTGCTGTTTGGGAATAATAGAAATAACTGAAAGCATCGTGTAATATTAGGAAATGATGGAAGAATGATGTCGTAGCTATAGCTGAGTGGACGTGTCAACAAGGTATATAAATAGATAGCTTTATGTAGTGTTACCATGTTTAAAAGTATATACCTATGAAACTGCAGAAAACTTTCTAAAACCTGCATGTTGTGAACTGTGTAACTACAAAAGGGAATAAACTATTTGAATTCTAAAAAAAACCATTTGTATGCTATTGTAATTTTTATTTAGGTTTGCAATTGGTTCATACTTCTTATATCTTCTTAACAATCTTTACTAATCTAAAAATCTCTAACTAGAATTAATCATTTGCTTCCTGCCTGTTTCAAGTGAAGTGTCATTGTAGCTATTGTTATGGGGAAACGACGATCGACGATATGGCTTAGAAATTGAGAAAACGACGATCACGCATTATAAGGTTGCCAAAACGGATAATTGACCCTCAACCTCGTTATTTCTTTTATTTTCTTTATTTGTTATTTCTTTTATTTCTTTTATTTTCTTTTGCTATAAGAAAGAGTATAAAAATAATGTAAGGAAATGTAGTAGAAAAAAGAGGAGTGGAAAAATTAGTCAATAAAAGAATGTTAAAATCAGCTTACTTATCACATTGTTCTGACCAATAAAATCCCCAAATCACACAAACTCACCAAATCTATACCTCTTTCTGCCTTTAAGCCCTCCCCCTGTTATAACAGATACCCTTGTCAAAGTGTCGCGAAGTCTAGGATTTCACCGTTACTGTTGATAGACCCCAGACCCACGACACTATCTATTGTAATTATATAAAATTCAGTTATAAGATATCCAACTCTAATTATGAGATTAGATATTGTATTACAAGTAAAATTTGTAAAAAAGAGTAAAGAATATTGGGTTTTGATTTTTTATTCTAAAATATGTGTATTTCATATTAACTTTTGTTGTTATATTTGTAAACCTATATTTTTTAATTATATAAAAATATTATTTGATTTTGTCAAGATAACTTGTTTAATAATAAAAAAAGCTGTTTTTAGTCTTATAACTTTTTTACTAGCAAGAGCTATATTTCCAGAAAAAATATAATATATTGTTTTTAACCAGTGTTTTGTGATTTTTTTAACAAAAGTTTCTTTCTTACAAAAAAAAAACTTTAAAAAAATTTTTTTAAGAAATATATAGTAAACAAAAAAAAGTTTTTTTGTAAACTTTAAAAATTAATTTCCTAATTATGACCTTTAATAGTATACTGTGATGGTCAATCAGTGAGTCTGTTATTAAATTGGGCAGAATGTTGCATAACTATCAATAAGGTAAGGAATATTAACAAAAATTTTGAGGCATGTACAATTTGGTTAAATAAAAGATAATTCAATTAATCAATATCCTTTATTTACTTTTTTCTTTTCTCTTTTTATATATTTTAGTTGTGATGGTTTTTTTATATTTCTGAAAGTAAAAGTGATATTGATTATTTAATGTTTTCTCATGATTTTCTCTAATTACATACTGTTCAGTCACAATTATTTCATATTATCAAATCATTTTTACAATTCTCTCGTCATTACTTAATTCTTTAACATGCTATTTTGCTATTATTTTAACCATTTTTCATCACTTTTGCTTATATTTTTTCTTTATACCACCTTGGGTATCATAATCAAAACAGGTCTTTCACAATACTATCATAATAACTAGATATGTAACTAGTATTACATCATGATTTTTACTATTTAACAATATATATCTAATAGTTAAATAACTAATACTTATCAGCTTTATACTATATATTGTTAGCGGGGAAATAGTATGGGATATGGTCACGCAACGCGACCTGGTGCGTCACGTACCCTGATTTTAGATAGCTGATATAGTAATTGATAATTTAGTATAGCCTACTTAAGCATAATGTAATTTAGAGAAAAGTCTAATGCAGTTATTGCCATTATTAGTCAGATAGTCTAATTATCAACCAATAGTTTCTAATAGTATAAGAAGGTATTGCATAACACGACATGCCAATATAAATAGAAGAACAGAAGGATAGTACGCAGTACAACGACAACAAAAAAAAATAAGAATAAAATAATATTCCTAATTAGAGACGTGCGATCAACGTTGCCAAAGAGAGTAAAAATATAAATTACTTACCTAATCCAGTACTTGTTGCAAGATAGAACGACCGGGACCACAAGAGAGAAAGTGGTAAGACTCGTCAAGGAAACGCGAATAACAGAAAGAGAAGAAAAGGTGATTAGTAAAGAACTCGACTGAACAAAATCACACACCTCAAGTAGAGAAAGCCAAAAACCTACCTGACGTTACATGAGTTTCTACTGCCATTAGTGACAAACTCGCCGGAAGAGACATCAATAATATATAAGTTATAAATAAAATTCTTTTATAAATTGATACAAAAAAATTATAGACAAATTTTTTTATAAATTAATATTCTTTAATAAAAATAATATAATATTTTTTTTGACTTGTGGGTCAATAGCACAGTGGGTAGTGCTCCCAGGTCACCAAATACATGTCCCTAGTTCAATACCCACAGGGGGCAAAAAGTGAATTTACCTTCATATGTAGGTTTACTGGATATCCTGCATATGTCGTACCCAATAATCCTTATCACATCCAAATTCAATTAGGCTGCATAAAGATGGGACCTCTGGTTTTCCCAACGATCGCAGGCTGAAAACAGGTCAAAGCATGGAAGGTTGCATGAGGAAAGGCTTCTGATCTAACTCCGGTAAAAACCCACAAAAAATTCAACCCAAACTGGCAACGGCAGACTCCGTCACACAACCCAAAGAGGTTAACTCTAAACTGATCTATCCCAATCTGGAGCTTGAGGATCTAGTTCTAGAGTGGTGTTTACATGAACTTAAATGGACCAAAAGGGCAAAAGGTTATCAGCTACAGGAGGTGACAATCCAGGCAAAAATCGTTAAAACCAAGTAAGTCTGGTGAGGATTATCAAGATTAAATCGGAATCCAAACAAAGATGCCAGTTTCACAGGTGGTGAAAATGGTAGTGTGATGATATGCTAGTGGCATATTCCAAGGGTCGGTGATAACAGTGACTGAAATACTGGAGTTAGTCTCTATAATAATATTCCAAAATAACTTGCTCCCTGCAATAATGAACCAGTAGGTTTAGGTGAGTTTAAATTAGTGATAGGATTCTCCTCCCTGCGAAAGTTCCACCTGACATGTAGGTATATCTTTATAGTGTTTAAATGAATACATAAGTTGTGTAATAGTGGTTGGTGTAGCTAATCTTATAGTAATATAGGCATTAGATAGTGTTAATCTACAGATTAATTTGTAGAGATATAAAAGGTATTCATATACCAACCGATTTCCAGTTAATTTGTAGAGATACTTGGTATCTGTCTGGATATATAATATACCAATAAAGATCATGCACCTTGCATACATTCCACTATAAAAAAAAAAAAAAACAATAATTTAATTTGAATCAGTTTTAACTAAAACTAATTTATTTTATTTTTTTTAAACTAATCTAATTCAAAAACTATTAACTTTAATTTTTTGTAAACCAATTCAATCCAAAAATCATTAGTTTTAATTTTTTATAAACCAAACTGATCTGATTTATATAAATATGGTTTTTATTAAATTATTTTATTTTAAATTTAAATTTATATATATTATTATATGCCAATTCAATCTTAAAGATCAGTATAGGACAGAGAATTAATAGCAAAAAAACATTTTATTTAGAATATAATCCTAATGTGATATGTTATAATTTATAGAAAAAGTATACTTGAGGTTTCGAAAATAATAAGGCAAGAAGCATAACAATTATAATTGTATAAAGACAAATATAATTGTGATAATTTGTAAAGAACAGTTTATTAGATTATTAGAATAGAACTTTAATGTTACCTATAATTTCAAGAGGAATTGAAAGCTATTTTTATATATATTGAAGATATAATATTTTTGTATATAATAAATATATATTATTTGAGATAATAAAAATATAAAAAAAATATTATATTTGTTAGAATAGTTATTTATATGTATTAACATAGAAATAAATACTTTGGCAAATATAAGCAATTAAAGAAAAATAAGAAAAATAAAAAATATTCTAGAGCATTAATAGCATGAAAAGCATAATGCTCAATGATAATAAAAAGAATATTCTAATTTAAAAAATATAGTG